CCGGTCCCATGTAAACACATAAAAAGAAATGTATGGAGAGCGATACGAACTCATACCGGTCTGAGTTCGTCCCGGTCTTATGTAATTACCCCCTTAGTTAGATAGCACTCTATGCAACGAAACATTGCATAACATTTCTGGCTGTGTAATACTCTAGAACCGAAATTGTTAAAGAGAAAATCGGCTTTGTATGTACTTCTTGCTAGCCTGTGGCAGGACTTGTAAGCTGAAAAGGAACCCAACGTTAGCACAAACCGGAAATTGTATAAGTTTGTTTTGTTGTTGTGCAGCTAGGTACGTAGGTACCATTTGGCAATAGTAAACGTTTTCGTGCTTGCATAGCCTGATTTATAAAATAACTAAAATAGTACGCGCGTTCTGATTGGTTAAAAACCCATGGTTATTGTGCCAGTTAACTCATAGTTTTACTTGAAATTATTTTATAAAAGCATTAGACCAAAGGTTCTATGGGTTTACGGTGTGATAACCCACTTGGGACGTTGGGAGAACACTCGAAAAGCTTATAAATCAATCGCCTTCGGCTCGTGATTTACAAGCTTTTCTTGTGTTCTCCCAACATCCCGCGTGGGTTATCACATCGGTAAACCCATAGAAATTAACACGAGAGGGGTTGGGAGAATTCAGACAAGGGTTTGCATAACTGTCGAGAATTTTCACCACCAGCGAGTGTTTATTTAAGCAATAGACCACAGTTTCTATGGGTTTACAGGCCGCGGCGTGATAACCCACTTGGGATGTTGGGAGAACACGAGAAAAGCTTGTAAATCACGAGCCGAAGTGGGTTATCACGCCGCGGCCGGTAAACCCATAGAAACTGTGGTCTATTGCTTTTATAAAATAACTTTTAGTTTTTTAGTCATGTCTTCTTTCTAAAGTCATCATAAGTCAATCATGACTCACGATTTAATAGCGCTGAACTTTCTCAAAACTCAGTTCAGTCAAACAACAAACAGCAGCACTTCAAAACAGGAGTTTTTGCACTCATTACATGATAACTTATGAAAGCTGTTTTACAGGAAAAGTCAACATTTATTCATGCGAACGTACATTGAAAGAATACGTTCATGGTTTGTTTACTACAGAAGTAGAAATTAATTGAACATCAGACTGTACGTAGCTGTATTTTGACGATCCGTAAGAATTTCGTGCTTACAGACAGAGCTGGCAGCTATTGTAATGGAGGACTTCATTCACATTCTACAAGCAACAGTGGTTTAAGATCTGTTTTCTGGACTTTATTATGATTAAGAAATGCTGCGGTAACGACCTGGCTGCATTTGCGAAGTTGTCGCATGTAACTTTATATGCACGTACGGCGACCGATGGAAATATGTGTCACCACCTCTTTCCAAAGAAACGGCATCGGTGTATAACCGCAATTATAAACAGCTAAACACTTCACTCCACCAAACTCCATCCAATACCGTAGCTATAGTGGCTTATTAAACACGTTTACAACGAAAAACCAGCCCGTTACTCTGGCATCTTTCATCATCGTTGGCAGCTTGTTTACAACCTACGGCGGTCGATTTTGTACCATATCTTGATCAGAAATCTCTTTTTGGAAAAATTTCTTTCATTAAGGAATTTAATTTTGACATAAAATAAATCAAGAATGCTAAAACTATCCGTTTTGTTGCTGGTTGGCACATGGTTAAGTTTACCTGGAGACTTTCTACACCAGAAATTCACACAGTTGTTGTCTTTCTCTGCGATTTGGCATCGCCGTGAAATGTAAACTGCTTTCCAGCTTTGTACTTTATTACTTCTAAAGCTATGGCAGTAATGAAATGTGGGAACCAACGCTTTTGATATTAAGAAGGGCTGGGTAAGTAACTTGTTCTGTTTTTTAGCCTTCCTAAAATCATTGTTTGCAGATCAATAGCCGGTTTTGTTTATGGCTCGTGGTCCGGATGCCTTCTTCTATGGGTTTATCGGTATAATAAACCATTGGTTTTTGACCAATCAGATCACGCGTACTATCTCAGTTATTTTACAAATCAGGATATGCAAACACAGGAAAAAAGATTTCTATTTCTTTTGTAAAATACCTTTCAAAAGAAAAAAAGCAATTGAAACTCTTTTGTTCAGAGCGCACATTAAAAGAGAAATTCTTACGAGGGTCTCAATGGGGTTAACCGATAGGCGTAAAACGGCCAAAAATTTAGTCGATAGCCGTAAAAATTGAAAAATTTTAACCATTAGCCGTAAATAGAGTAAAAAAGAGTTAACCGTAAAAGAAACTTTTCCCTAGGTTCCCTCACTTATGGTTGTGTTTTTTATTTCCCGGCTAGTGTGACTCCGTACGCACGTTAGGCGAAGCGCCTTTTAGGTGTTGACCAAGACCTAGGCTCCATTTCCGCCACTCTCTCGGGGAACTAATTTTTTCCATAGCGAAAGTGTGGCTTCTTGCTGGGGTTTAATATTTGCGCTTTTCAGGAGGTCGAGGCCTCGAAACGCTAGTGAAACAACACGAAGAGATGTCACTGTTTGTAAAACACGTTGCCGATGAACAACATTCCCCTGTTTTTCTCTGAAAGCTACGGTAAATATTGCCATGCCCAGTCCCTGTACGGCGTCTTCCCACGTAATCTCGGTCAAGGTATTTTGGTGACGAACTCGCATGGACCACGTGACCCGAAACGCATTAGCCGCGCGGAATAATGAGGCCTACGGACAAGGCAACGGCAGAGAGTCGTTCCATACAGTCCTTCGCTATCATTAAAACACTGGACACGGGAATTTTGTTATAGGCCGTTTTCACGCCAGAGCTAGAAATGGATTATCCGTCTGAGGCTAGCCTGTGTACAGTCGCGCCCTCCCCACAGACACCCCTTCTCTGATTTTTTCTGAGGGGAGGGGACGGCTGTACACAAGCTATCTGGACTGGGTAATCCCGTCTTCAAACTGTCCGTCGAAATTGACGGATAAAGTCAGGCGGATTGTTCACTCAAAATTAAAACTATTCCATTTTCGAATTAAGAAGTATTACCTATCTGACGCGAATCATCAAACGGATAACCCGTCTCACACAAATAATCCGTCTCTAGTGTGAAAACGGCCATTTCTGTTATAATGAATGTCGCGCCCCGGCCTTGAGTTGGGCGTTTGCGTGCCTGCTTTTTCTTTTTCGCAAAGATTATTTTTAAATTGACTATTGACATTTCTATGTATAAAATTACATTAGAAGAGAAATACTTTATAAAAAGTGTGATCTATCAAATGTTAAAATTTTGCAAAAGAATAGGTTGTTTAACCCGAGATGATCCAAAGACCTTTATTTTAATTTAAAGATACAAAAAATACAGGTTGATTTATATTTAACTTTTTGAAACAAAAGAAGTTAATTTTTAACTTTTTTGTTAACCGTAACTGAAAAAAATTAACCGATAGCCGTAAATAGCCAAAATTTTAGCCGTTAACCGTAAAAGCCACCACCCCATTGAGACCCGCTCTTACCAGTCGCGAAGTTTTGTACGCCTAATCAGTTCTTGTCATTCTGCAGAAAAGATGCTTTCCAAAATACGGGTTTTTCTCGATTAAAATGTCAGCTCAAGCGAAACGAAATTGACACTGCATGTTTCCAAAGATTTTCCAAGTTTCAGCCGACGAGGAAATGAGTAAATAAAGTAAACTTGAAGAGTTTTTCTACTCAAAACCTTTTTCAAATTCGTGCTTGCGTGATTAGCGCGCGAAGAGCAAGACATCTTGACATCGCAACCATGTTTACATACTCTCATGCAAACAAGCCTCTGGGCCAATCAGAGGGCGCGTACTATCTTAATTATTTTAAAAACAGTACTTTATATCCTTTGTACTAAGTAGCGTAATATAAGCGCTGGAGAAAAACAAATTGAGCATTACCTTACCTATAAATTTAACCAAATGCACCGTTTTATGAACAGCTGTGAATCCCTGCTCTCCATGCATTTCTTAGTAGAATGCTGTAACAAAATTTACCCAAAGTAATGACACCGCATGAGAAATAAAATCAGTCATCTGTACAGTTTTTTTCCATGTTTAACGTTGCCTTGGCACGCGTTGATTATTTTCAGGATATATATTATCGAAAACAAGCTGGATTTTGTTTCTTTTGACGATAAAAATCGTTGCCGAACGTGACTTTCCCATACTAAACTCTTACACTGGTCAGGTTCAATGTCTGAGCCACAGCAGGGACCAGAAATTTGTGACGTCATTAGTGCAAAGCGCTATTGTTGTTGAACGGATCAATGGTAGGCTTAAAATCAGTGTTACGATATACATTTCTGTTCCATTAGTTTTCTTCAATTCACTGTGTTAGCGGGATCAGTGGTGCTTGGAGACGATAGATTTTTGCTCGGAGACGAAAGGTTTGTTTTTGTGGTGAGATTAGTACAGTGTCAGACTGCCGAGCTAGCTTTGACTTTGCACATTATTACAGATGCCTCATCGCAGATTGGAAACTTTTATTTTCCTACTGGCTACTTAAAAAGCAACTAATTATTGAGTGTGGATTTTGATCCTTTTCTGTTCGAAAAACGAGTGCACAGAAAGTTGGGGCATACTCCTTCTAAAATCTGGACAATATTTGGGTAAAGATATATGTAACTGCTCACAGTAGCATCAAATTAAGTATTTACATGCACTAATAATAAAACTATTTCAAAAGTAGGTTGAGTTTTGATCGTCCGGGTTAACGTAGTCCTGAATGGGACTGTTGTTGTTGACAGTGACTGACGCTTCGACAACCTGTGCGGTAGTCATCTTCAGTGTCAAAGTGAGTTGTATCACGTTAGGTGATGGTATTTTACTCTGGTGATTGGTCTGATTGGTCAATTACGTTGCGATGTTATTGGTCGTCTGTCAGTTAAGCCGTGATGTTATTGGCTATGAAGACTCGTGATTAGTAATTGGTGCGTTTCGATCCGTCTATTGTCACAGTTAAACAGTCATCTGTTGTTAGTCAAATTGTCAGTTCTCCAGTCGTTCTATCGTAGTTAGTTTTGCTTGATCTCGTCAAGAAGTCGTTTGTACGGCGCTGGTAACTGTTGGCTACGATTCAGTGGCGTTTGTTCTAAGTTAGTAAACCAGATTTCTAAAGTAAGACGTTGATAGTAGTCTGTAGAATACGTTATACATGTCGCAGAGTCCCAGTCAATTCGATGTTTTGTCTGTAAATGGTGCTCAGCAATGTGATTGTTGACGTCACCATTCCTCGTCGCTCGTTTGTGTTCGGTCAGTCACGTGCGTAGGTTTCTGCCGGTTTCACCAATGTAAGAAGCCTGGCAGTCGCAGCATTTGATCTTGTATACTGCTCCCTGTCTGTCCTCCGATTTGTCTTTGTCCTTGACATTAGTAAGCAATCGCCGTAAAGTGGTTATCGGTTTGTGTGCAACACGTATGTTGTAAGGTTGTAATATACGTGCAATAGTTTCAGAGGTGCCTCTCATGTACGGTATAGTCGCTGTCGTAACAGGGCCAGAGTTGGTCTGAGTGTTGGAATCGGGGTTACTGTGAGTGTTCCCTCTAACAAAGTCCATTGTGTAATTGTTCTTACTAAAAACGTTGTTAAGATAATCAGTCTCGTCTTGTAGGCTGTCAGGTGAGTCGCAAACTAGCTGCGCTCGTCTTGTCAAAGTCCGGATAGTAGTAGTTTTGTGAGAGGTCGGGTTGTACGAAGACTGGTCTAGTAATAATCGGTCGGTATGTGTCGGTTTTCTGTAAATAGTCGTTTTTAGTTTGTTGTTGTGGCGAGTGACCAAGTAGTCTAGAAAAGTTATCTTACCATTTTCTTCGATCTCCTTTGTGAACTGTATGTCCGCGTTCTGTCTGTTAAGGTGTTCGTGAAAATCGTCGATTCCGTCTTTGTGTACGGCGGTGAATGTGTCGTCAACGTAACGTAACAGCCCAAAAAGCTGAAAATTAAAAACTAGAATCCAAAACAATTTAAAATATGTTTAATGATATTAATTAATATTTATATAAATCCTGATACTGTTGCGAAGTTAAGTGACGATTCTGCGTGTTCAACGTCAGGCAAGTTATACCTCGTTTGGTAGCACATCCCCCTACTTCTTTTTAGGCGAGCCACTGCCATATGGATTTACATGTTACCTTCACTAGTCAGTAAAAGTATACCAAATATTTAAGGCATTTACTGCTAAGCACGTTCCTGGGTAAAAAATGGCATCCCCGATAGTTTTTCTCGTTTCCAGATGTCCGGGTTCCCGTTCGCCTTCTCGCTTCACCAGATGCATCGCCAGCTGCCTGTCTGATCCCTATATTTTTTACCTAAGTTTAACTATGCAAGCTGCCCACTATGTTTTCAGACCGAGTCTATGGCCCCTTTACTGGTCGCACTTACTCATCCGGTTGTCTATTTTATGCCATTCTTCCTTTTCAACGACCTCATTTCCACTGATAACCCCTTTTTACCTGCCCGTGTGAGTCCACCTTAATTCATTTTATTACCCACCTATCTAACTCTCTTTCTTATGGCACTATCAGACTTTATCTGGCAGAAGTTAAGAATCTCTTTAATGAGTTTGCATGGTTGTCCCCGGATATCTCCTCTTTGTCACTATTTTTTAAGACCTAGTGCGTTGCATTAAATCCTCCCTCTGAGGTGTCGCCATCCCATCACAGCTTCAATCACCCATCAAATTCATCTTGTCCTACAACCCTTCCGGTACTTGCTGACACGGATTCTTCTATATTGTTTCTATATTGTTTCTACCGTTGCCTTCCTCGGTTTTTAAATTACGTAGAAGCAAATTTACTTGTAACGGCACTTTTGAGGTTCAGATCTATCTGACTCAATGGGACGTCTCTTTTTACCTTGACCTTTTACAACCTCGTTCTTCTCCGCAGTCCATACCCTTAAGACGACCTGAACCAATTGATCCGGTTCCTGTTTTTGTATTAGGGTCGGTGTGCCTACCCACTTCGTACCAACGGAACGTCATGTCCGTGCTTCGTGTGGGAGCCGTGCCGCGGTACACCCGAGACCCCCCATCCGGTGGTTTATCCAGTCGGTGGGTTCTATCCCAGCCTTTCTGGCTTTTCCCTGACCAATTTCGCCCATCAAAGCCTTGCGCGTTGAGTTATTTCTTTGTCGGTGCACCATAACATTAAAGGTGATTTTGACATTCCAAATGAGGCATTTGGACGCCCACTATGACCATCAATCAGTTATTAACACAAAACTGGGGTCGCAACAGGTTTATGTGACATGCAATCTAATTTTTCGATCTTTATTCTCTTCTTTTCGTATTTTCAAATGTACTTACCAGCTTGGACCACCTGCGATCATCACTGATAAGTAGAAAAACACTGGGGTGCCAAATTAAAGACAACCTTGACAGGCCTTTTAACATGTGGCAGAAATCTAGTAAGTATTCGTCAAACTCTATCAGTGAAAAGTTTAAGGTTAGTCCCTTAGTCAGATAGATAGATAGATTACATAAATATTAACAAATCAAGACGGAATCCACCAGGAAATTGAGTAATTTTAATTTTCAGTGGACAAAAATCTTGTACCAGAATAATTTAAAGAATATTGCATTCTTTTTACATTTTTCGAGGGCCTACGATGTAATAAATCATCCGTAGTTAACAATAATGAAAATTTCTCATGGAAATCCGAGAAAATGAATGTCAAATTTCACAAGAATTTTGATTACACAGGTAAAATTCTGAAAATGTCATGTGTAAAATGTAATTCTGTGAAATTTGACATTCCTTTTCTCGGGCTTCCATGAGAAATTTTTTTTGGTGTTACTACAGATGATTTATTATTTAAGAAACAATGCAATATGCTTTAAATTATTCTGGTACAAGATTTTTGTCCACTGAAAATCAAAATTACTCAATGCGTGTCCTGGTGAATTCCATCTTAATAGTTAAAAATACGTAGGTACAATAATAATGATGATTAATTATTGTAATAATTCAAAAATATATATATAAAGGCCTTAAGCTATTTCATTTCGTAAAACTGTTTAAAACTCTCTTGATCTTTTAGGAGTGGACGTGGCATATTCCCTTCGCTTTGCATTCATCAGGATTAAGTTGTACTCTATTGTCATGTTAAGCATTGATTAGACTCTGAGCGTTACTGACATTTCCCTTTTCAATGATCTCCGAAGTAGTAATATCATGAACAAATTTCCATAAAAGTGGTGGCTCAATATTTGGATCGTTAATCATTAAGATAAATATTCACGGTGCCAATTACGTACCGGCGCTATCCCGGATAGGATCAGCCCCGACTAAGAATTTTGGGAAATCTCAACACTTAAATGTAGGAACTCTGTCCTCTCTGACGCGAAGGATAACGCAGAATTGTTAAACACACACTGAAGAGTATCTTTTCTGAGTTCAGTCCCATAAAACTCAAGCATGCGGCTAACGCAGCAGTAACAAATCTATTTGCAGAAACCAACCCTCGAATAATGCCCTCCGATACTATTACGGTAAATGGAATCAGAAAACTGCTAACCAGACTAAATTCACCCAAAGCTCCTCATCCTGATACCTTCTAGCCTGCGAGCAAGCTCTCTGGGCGCTCTGGCGGCAGGAGGGAAAAGGAAGGAGAGCTTGCAACTACGTCTCCGAAATTTGAAAATCTGCGTCGAAGAAGTCGATGCCAAATGCTGATTGGCGGAGATTACATTAGTAATGACGTCATTACCCTTGGCACGTGTTTTTCGATGTTTATTCACATTCGCGCTGGCTTCCGCTTCGCTCTGATTGGTGGAAATGTGACAGCTCAGTCGACGGGGAGCCACAGGGGAATTGGAGGTGGAATTCAAATTCCAGAGACGTAGTTGCAAGCTTTCCTTTCTTTTCCCGCCCAGCCGCTAGAGCGCCCAGGAGAGCTTGCTCACAGGTTAGATAACTTACACTCCCAAGTCTTAAAAGAGTTAAGTTCATTAATCATTAATCGGGGAATGAATGGATGAACCCAAAGCTGATCCGAAAATTGTCATTAGGAGCAGAGTTCCAAAGTTTAACGTTAAGTTTAAAGTTTAAAGTTTAAAGCCTTCTCTAGAAAGCGATGAGAGCACGTACTTCTATGTATAACAGAAGTGCATGTGGAACCCGTGCGAGAACATATCATGAACTAAAATAATTTCAGTTTCACTCTTAATGAAATCGTGATGGCGTTTGAGATGAGAAGGTAGGATGATGAAACATTGCGGTGTGTTGTTTATGTATTGTTTTTTTTTGTCAATTATCGTTTGTTCTATTTTTTTAAGTCACATCAAACAATAAACAAGGGACAAGTTCTCGTAATAATGATGCTGGTGATAAGGATGGTCCGTTAGGTTCAAGCAAGCGAGGTCAAGAGCAAGGTATATATTACTTGGTTACATTTTTTGCCTACTTTCTTCAAATGAAAACATCTATCTACAAGCTCTGCACTTTGAGAAAAAAAGGGAGCGAAGGTAGTTATTGATTTCTTGATAATCCCGACTCTACCCAGATTCACCTCTTCCGTAGTTGTTGCTGTTCCTGAGGTTTTTCCGTCAAAATTATCCTCAAAGAGCGGCTGCTGTTGCTGGTTAGGATTGGACAGATCATTATGATCGAGTAGTTCATTGTCGAACGTGTAGGGTATAAAAAAAAAAATCTACGAGGGCTGAATCATATTTTTCATTCCAAGCAGAATGGGAAACATAATTTTGTAATCGCTAAACAACAGTGTGTCAGCTCCTTCGGCTCAAACAGAAAAGACTTCATCTCAGCAACTCCATAATTCACTGTAGAAAAAGAAATAACATTGACGCGTACCGCACTGAGCACTCTAGTCAGAGCTTGTGCGCCCTTACGAAAGTGAGGAAAGAAGATTTATTCAGGAGTCACGGCACTTGTATTCTATTTTGTTCAGGTCCGTCAATAGATGGTTTTCACTGTGACGTCATCAAATTGTAAAGTCAAAATAGCGAGGTTTTACGAATTCTTATTTACACTAGGTTGAAGATGAACAAAAAGTTAATCTTTGTACAAGTTTCCATTTCCGTAGCATGTTTCATTTCGAAAATACAGCAATTTGAACTTCCGAGATTTCACAGTGCGTGACACCAAAATAGGAATGCTGTCTCGTTGAAAAAAAGTCTCTCCTTTTGATTTTCAGCAATGTAACCACTTCAACTATTAGAGGATATGTTTATGCGTACGCACGCTAGTTCTCGAGTGAAAAGAAAGAGCTTTTATAGAAAAAGTAAACTCCAGATGTTTTCGTTGATTTCCGGCGGCCATATTGGTGCACCAAAACGGTGCACCAATATGGCGTCTCCATACAAAGCTCTACAAAGGTGCGTGAAACGTTTCGCCAAATAACTCAGAAACTATTTGCCACAAAGACCTGAGACTTGGACAAATTGTTTATAAGTTAGTCCCTTTTTAACATTTCATTTTCTTGGTTTCTTCCACTGGACGGTTTCCAATTTATTTTTTTGCTGCGTGACAGTGAAAACGATCTATATATAAACAAATGAAAAGTATTAATGTTAATGTTCATATTGCGTAAACAATAACAGTAATTTGAATGTACAAATATTCATAGGATGGAGAGAAAACTTTACTTGAAAAAAAATTCTCGTTCTCTTAAATCAATTTAGAATTATCTCGATTTGTTTTTCCTGTCTCACGAAAGTTTTTTTTTCTTTCTTTCTTTCTTTTTTTTTTTCATACATACACTTAAAGGTAAAAAAAAGCAACGCAGATTGATGATTAAAAACTTTTGGTTAAAAGGCAGTAACAGTGTTCTTTAAGATATGATCAGACTTTGAAGGATCTCTTACAAAAGAGAGTAATGAGATGGTGTCACATTACTCTATTACGATACGATACGATACGATACTTCATTTTACGCTTAACTACAGCTAGTTTACAGGTAATTTAAGGCCCTAAT